TCTTCTCGTTCTTCTTGTTTTTGTATTGCTGCCATCAAATCTGCAAAGCTGTAGTTTGATTTGCCGCTTCTCGTTTCCATTTTTTTTCTTTTTTTTTATCCCACTCCCTGACACCAATTTGTTTTGTCTCTGTTCGCTAGTTAATTTTCCGTAAATTCGTTCCGACGAAACTTCAGCGACTCAAGTCCTTTCTTAAATAAAAGTGGTTTATTCTTTCCGAATACAACTTTACGATACACGTAATTTCAACAGTCGCGCTATAACAATGAACGTGCTCAACTTCAACAATACTCACTGACTGCAGTTCAATTACTCACTACCTACACTGTTGTCCCATCACGTTGTGACCATCTTATATATACCAGCCTACCCCAATCTAGTAAATGCTAGGGCATTCACGAAGGAACAGAATATTTCTAGAAAACGTGGCGTGACACTAGTCACGTGACCTCGCTGACGCAACAACCCTAATGAAGATTCCTCAGTCTAAGTGATAAGATTTCAGAGCTTACTTTGTGGCCTTCTTTTGAATAACCACTAAATTAAGGTGTTTATATAACAGGAGCTGATATAGTTACCTGTGTAAGATTCCTACAATTCTAAACCTATTAAATACGATTATCTCGTTTCTATGATACCCATTGGATCTGGGTAATTTGTACTGGACTGGATGCAGTAATCATAGAGAAAGCAGCATTGGTAAAAAAAACAAAAACAAAAAAAAACTAATTGACTCCAGAGGAGCTGAGCGTCCAAACAGCTGATCATGCACTCATGCTGATTCCAACAAAAGTTAAGACAGCATAGTCTAAGAAGAAATGGGACCTACTTATGAAATGTCCTGTTGGAGGGTATGGCATTTCAACACAGTGGCACCGAAATATGTTTTCAAACCTTAAACAAAGCCAAGAAAACCTTTCTTGATGGTCGACCAGGTTCCAGGAAAGTCACAGTGGGATGGGTTTCCAGATGTTGCCAGCTGCCAATGAGGTCTCGACCATCAGGTCGGACACCACCACCAACTTCGCAATTGCTGAAGCACCACCAGTTAAGAGGTCCCGCACTCAGATCTAGAGAGGTCTGAGAGTGGAGCTCCCACATAAATCATCTAAAGTATTGTTAAACCATCCTATGCTAGAGTAGATCTCCACGTGCAGGTGTCGCTACCAGAATATGGCTGTTGTGTTGACTGAAGCTTGGACCTTCTACAACTGAGAGGAGAAGTCGGTATAGTGGAGAGCTGTGCCTCCATTACAGGTGGAGGTGGTATTACGGAAGTTTCAAGCTAAGCTGACAAACACTAAGAGGCCCTCATGAAGGCTTGGTAGATAAATGTGGATCACCACAGAGACTGATTATAAATGACCATGGCTGCTTTCGGGAATCTTCTGATGGGATTGAGGTGAGGGAAAGCAAAGCCAACTCTAGGTGAGTATTGTAAGTTATGTATATTTTTGTTTAATTAAAAAGTATTGTATATATATATACATATGTAACTCCTGTTTTTTTGTAGGCCCTCCCCGTGGCACAGTGGTATGCCTGCGGAACTACAACCCTAGAAACCGGGTTTCGATACCCATGGTGGGCAGAGTACAAATAGCCCATGTGTAGCTTTGTGTTTAATTTAAAAAAAAACTTTTTGTATTTATTGGTTTATTCTTTATTTTGAATACTTTTTCGAGTATGATTTATAAAAAATTTGTTTTCTTGACAGATGTTACTTTACTGTGAACTAAAATTTTGGTATTTTGATTGTTTGATATGTTTTATAAAAAGCTGTACTATGCCATATCTTGCATGTACCTTTGTGAGGTTTATTTTATTGTGTAAAAAGGGTTCCTATGTTTTATTTATTTTGAATTTTGTTTTACTCTGTAATGACTAAAACTGTTTCAATGTTAAAAAGTGTTTATTATATCTAAAGTGACTCTGAAATTAATCTTGATTAAAATGTATTTATTCTTTACTTAATTCATTATAAAATGGTATTTTTTATATTTCTATGTCCATTTAAAGAGTTGATTTAATGTGTTATCACTCAATAGTACTTCTTTTTAACATATTTTCATTTTTATATGATTGTCTCTGTTAAAGGCTTGATTCATGTCTCTCTCTCTTTAAAGGGTTTATCTTTGTATGCGTCTATGTGTGCTTGCATCTTCGTCAAAAGGTTTCGTTTTGTTTGTAATTAAGCACAGAGATACACAAAAGGCTATCTGTGACTCTGCCCACCACGGGTATCGAAACCCAGTTGCTAACCCGCAGACATGCCGCTGTGCCACTGGGGGCGTTTCATTTTGTATTAGTATTACTTGCATCATTATTTCAAGTTTTGTTTGTTTGTGATAAAGCACAAAGCTACACAACGGGCTATCTGTACTCTGCCCACCACGGGTATCGAAACCTGGTTTCTAGCGTGTAAATTCGAAGACATGCCGTTGTACCACTAGGGGGCAAAAGGTTGTGTCATTTATATTGCATGTAAGTGTTTACGGGAATGAAAGAAAGTTAGTGCATTTCTCGATCAAGGTACGAGTGTAAAGTTAATTAGTTTTACAGTTAAATTTAGTATTTTGCTTGAGAACAAGCCTAAAACAGAGGGGGTGAAGATAAAGTGTGGTATTCAAACATGCCACATGTTTTTAACCTTCTTATTTTAATATAGAAGGAAGATGTTAGTCTAATCAAGTCAAAACTCTAGTGAAAGGTGCTCTTAAGAAAGTACGCACACACTGTATTTTGTGTCTTTGATTAATAAAAATAGTTTTCATTGTGTATTACACATCTTGTCCAGTTTATTTAATTTTTTGCTCAGACTCGTTTAGTTCTTGGCTAAATTCAGTATTGCTTCGTAACATATCCTGCTAATTCTCAAGTCATGTAGCAGTCCTAACTAATTCTCTTTGAATAAGTCAATTTGAGCTGAAAATATCATAAGGTTATGGCCTCTTATTAGCCGCGGTATAGCGGCTCATAGAATGCCTCCGAGTTTTTTTTTTTTTTTCAAGTACAAACTTTTAGCTCGTAGCTCCGTCATATCTTGACCGATTTGAGATCTAATTACAGTTTTGGACTCAGGAAGTCAAAGCCTTTCGATTTATTTTTTTTTTACCACGACTAAGGTTTCATAGATTAATTTACTCTAATCCTGCTTAAAATAATTTCAGTTTGAGGGGAGTAGAGTTTCTGAATAGTAATAACATCGAATTAGGCATGTACGTGCCCCAAGCTTGGTATTGCTGGCGCTCAAGAATATAGCTAATAAAAAAGGGGGTTTCAAAGATTAATTTACTTTAGTTCTGCCTAAAAGGATTTCAAGTGCCGCGGCTATTGAGAATTTCCTCTTGTTGCTTCTGTGCTGTATTCTGAGGATTTGGGGAAGGCAAAACTAGGTTTTAATTAAACCAATTTCATTTTTCTGACTTGGTAATTGGCTTGTAGAATGAATTACTGTTGGTAGTAGTGATGTCCGGCTTTACATGAGATTAAGAGGGAAATCAATGATTTTCATAAAAATAAAGGATAAGCTTAAAGTTTTACTGTTGAATGTGGAAGGGCAGCTTTGAAAGATCAAATGGTTCATTAATGTTAACCATATGTCATTTCTCTCAGAAAAATTTTACGCTCGTGGAAAACTTTGCTTTATTTACAAAAATGACTTAGCTTCAGTGTATTTCAATATGTGCATTGATCTAAGGATGATATACTTACAGTTTACGACTGCTGCATCAGTTAAGAGGAATTTTTGAAAACGGAAATGAATTAAAACCTATTTTAATTTTTACGTGTCTCAATGGCATCTTACAGGTTTGACCACGCTTTTTATTGAAAAAGATCTTGCCAGAAGTTTGAATTTCCAGAAAACTACCTATTAATTTATAACAAAGGCAATTAAAAAGTAAGTTATCAAACTTTAATGATTATATAAGCAGGTGAATATGAAAATTTGTATTTCCAAATAGGTAAGATAAATTTTGTACACTCGCACCAAACTTATCTATGGAATGGTGGCAGGGAGCCAATAATTTTGTCTTTACAGTCCTAGTTCCTGGGTTCTAGCAGCTATGATTGTGGTGGTTATCTGAAAAGAGAAAATGAATAGTACTGTTTGAAGTGCGAGTTATGTGTCTGGGCAATGCAATTTTATTGATTATTATTATTATGAATAAAAGTACTTTTGCATTGACTTGCTACATATACCAAATTCTACAGTAATCGAACGTGAAAATCAGTTATGAAAAATTTACCAAGATGTAATCTCAACTAATTTTTTAATTAGATTTATTTCTGAAAAATTCCGTATTTTTTATTTAATGATATTTTATATGTCGCAACTTATACACGCTTTTAGGAAACAAAAAGTTAAATTTAATATAAATCCAAGAGATGTCGCTGTTGGGATGCAATTGTGTATTTTTGAGTAGAACTTTGGACTAAAATGAGTCAAAGTTAATTTAATATAAATTTAAATCTTAGTGAAGTTTGAATAAATGTTTTCGGTTTCTAAAATAATAATATAATGCACAGTATTTTGGGTTTTTATTAAAAATTTGCGTAAGTCGTATTGAAAAGACAATGTCTTCGATATCTGCAAAGAATTTTTCTGAAGATATGGAATTAACTGCTGTCAGTGTCAGTGGTGAAATCGAGGAAGATGTTCTCTCCGGTGCTTGTGGTAATAGTAATAGGCCTGTACCTATGCGATTGCAACGTCACTGGTGAGTTTTTTTTTGCTGTCAATGTTAATTGATTTCATTTATTTCTTCTTTCAGTTTCATGGAATTTTATCTCTTAAATATATTTGGTTATAGCATTCTAAAATTTACGTACCTTATAATATTTATATTTTAACTTAAATCGTTGATTAATAATAATAACATAATTTAACAATACGTTGATGATGAAGATCAAACTCAAAGTTCAAAAGAAAAGTTAAAGTCTGTTATTCTGTTAATCTTCACATTTCCAAATTCGTTAATTAAGTCTTGGTAAGAAAAACTTACATTTAATTACAACAGAATCCTAATATTTGTATAAAATGTAATTTAATATTCACAACTAAACCGTAATTCATATGTGTTTATTCTGATATTATTATTAATATTATTATTAAAGGTGTTGGGATATTACACTCTGATATATGGGTTTCATATTTACCAGTTTTAAAAGTATTAAAAGAGAGTGAGCCTACACTTGGTGTTTATTCAAAAATGCATAAATATTTACTTGAAACATTAGCTGTTAGATTGACGATAGAACTTATTAGAGGATCAAAATAAACAACAGGATAGATCAAACATTATGTAACTTACCTAAATGCTTGGCAATAATACATTAAGAACATGTCATATTGTTTCTAGCTTTTTGGATAACAATTAGAGATGGATATCCTGAACTGTCAACAAAGACAGCAATGATTTGGAATTGTAATAAAACTATATCCAGGTGCTAAATATATGGTGCTTTACAATTTTTAACCCTAATTTGAAACTTAAATGTTACAATCTTTAAAACTATCTAAAGAACTATTTGACAAATGGGATCTTTAGAATGCATACAAATGTTTTTAGTTTTGTAGCATTGAAAACCTATGATAGTTTTTTCTTCAGTACTTATAAATGTAGAGGACTAATATTCTGTACAGAAAAATTAAAATTGTTTCTTTTTCCCTTCAATATTAGGAAGCAAACTGAAGAATACTATTCTGAATTTGAGACATCCTCATGTTATTCTCAGACACAGCTTCAAAGCACAAGGTCTTCTCCAGATGTCCGGTAATATACTTTAGGAGAGAAAGTTATTATTTTTAAATATCAGTTCTCATATTCTAGTTTTGTTACATTTTCTAAAAACTACTGCTTATACATATATATATATATATTGAGATAATACCTCATTTCTGCATATAGAATAACTTTATTCTTCATGTGTCTGCTCCTGAGATTTGCATGCTACTAGCCTTGAGCTAACTCCCACCTAAAAATCATGTATTTAACGTGAACTGAGCTCGTGCATGATGACATCGTCATTCAACAATAGCTCTCCACCAGTAACAAGGCAACATGACCATCTTGCACAGTACCTCTCCTTAAGCACTTGTGCTTGAAATGACTTCATTATTTTCCTAAACTTTGTCTAAAACAGATATGCTTTTAAAATTCTTAATTAAGTGCATAAGATTTGCAGTAGTTTATTGTAAAACTAAAACTTTGTTCAAATTTAACTGGTTTCTTTTATTACTGCAGAAATATGTGTATGGAAAAACGATATTTTTTCCTGCTTATCCATTATGAATCATGATGGTTATTGGGGGGGGGGACTTGTTGTTTGTGGTGGATGTGTTAGCCATTCTTCCACATATTGTGGGGTTCTTCAGTTGGCCTCCTCCTCCTACAGTGCATTTGACTGATGTTCCTTCTCCCCAGATTGAACATAATCAGGATGATGGCTTTGCTCTAAGCATGACATTATCTGTGGTGGAAAATTCTCACTCTTCAAGTCTCTTCCTTAACATGATTTTGCAGGTATGTTGTTTTTTTTTCTCTTTCCCCTTTGTTTTCTGTTTTCTTACTTGAAACCCATTCTTCAAACTACCTTGTTTTCTCTTCTTCACTTGACATTGAGGTCCATGCAGACTCATTTCTTGTTCAACTGGACACCTGTACTAATGTGCCTTGTCCTCTTAGTGTACTTGACTATTTTGCCTCATCTCACAGCTGTTTTTCATTTCTATTCCTTGATTCATAGTCTTTGGAATATCTTTTACCTTAACTTCTATTTTCCTTTCTTGCACCAAATTTTTGCACTTTGGTCTCACTCTCTTTTTTTCTTTTACTGCCTTCCTGTGTTGTCTCTTGCCTCTTCCTCAGTTGAGGCTGTCAGTAATTTTAACTGAAATATTAAGAATTTATGAGAAAATAGTAATAATATATGAAACATCTGCTTGTTTGCTCTTGAAAGCACCTCACCACAGTCCACAAAAATAGTAATATCAACCTGCAATAAATCATTGTCTTATGTTCAGCAAGTTCCTGAATTTGTCACAAAAATTCACTAACAAATCTTTAGTTAGAATAGTTAAAAAATCTGATTTTTTTTGTATAAAAGCCTTCTAATATTTACAGATAGTCTGTGAAATTTCATTTAAGACATGAATACATTATTTAAAGTTATAGTATGACTAATCTCATAATTACTTTGGTGGTTAAGCATTAAGCCTCTTGGATATACCCCTTATCTTTAGGGTTAATTCTTTCATCTTTCAATTGTGGGTTTTTCCTTTTAGCTTTGTGCCTGTTCCTTCTATCTTTACTTGAGTCATGGGGGCATTTTTCCACCTTGTTCTCGGATTAGGGCTGTGGTTCCATAGGTACATTGGCTTCAGGAAGACTTTTCTGTGTTTCCCTCCTATTGGTGAGGGGGCTATCGTTGCATGAGGTTGTCATCATGCAGTTCACATTAAACGTAATTTTTAGGTGGGAGTTAGCTCAAGGCTAGTGGTATGCAAATCTCACAGGCAGATGAGCAAGGAATAAAGCTATTCCCTGTGTGAGATGAGTATCTGTTGGAAATACATTTTCAGAAAATGTTAATATTGAAGATTTTGTGCACCTATATTAACCTACATGAGTGAGCTTATAAAGGTTAAAATGTATGTGAGTTTTATTTCTAATTTTAAAAAATCATTCAAAAAAGTGGAAAAAGTTTTGGTAAAGATGAGGCTGAAATGATGACAGTAAAAATATATTTGCAGATTCCATCACCATGTAATGTGTTGTTGCTGAAAACATCACACTTTCCAAACAGTAACACTTTTCATCTCAGACTTTTTTAAAAGCACTAATATAAGCATGGAGTTGTGTAATTAATGTGCAGTCTCGTTTATTTCTTGTATTATTAAACTTTTTTGTTTAGTAACATATTATAAACACTAAACAACGTTTTTTGAAAGTTTAGCCAGTCATGAAATGCTTAATTTAGACTTGATTGAATCCACTTTATGTTGAAAGTTCGTCATTTCTCATGAAAGAAAAAAATCAGTTGTTACATAACTGTGAGAGTATTAGAATTTTGTAATTTCAGGTTCTGGAATGTTGCTAATATTTTCTTGTAAAAACAGAAGAGAAGCCATCTTAATAATGAAACAGCTCTTTTTAAAATATTGCTGTTACTGTGTATGATACTTCTGAATCAGTTATGAATATGTTCTTAAATAAACAGATTTAGAATCATTAAATTTAAATGAACTTAGGCATTATTATTTTACTATGACATTTTAATATATTAAATATATGTTTAAATGCATATATTTCAATTGAACTTTTTTGATTGAAAAAATAATTTTGGCATATGAAAAGTGTGCAAAGTTTTGCTTATCACTAGTCTTAAACTCCGACTTAATTCCATGTGTATACCATGAGGTTCAGTTGTATTTAAGCATACAAATTAGCATACAACATTCCTCCACCAATAGGAATGTAACAAACCCTTCTATTGCAACTGACTCGCTCTGTGCAGTTCAACACAATCTTCACTTTTGGATTTGGCATGACAGTATTAAGACATAGTGCTTGATTTTAAACATTTTTGTGTTTAATGCATTTTGAACATGTTCCAAGTTTTGTTTATAATCCACTATCGAGTTGGATTTCTTTATTTCTCATTCAGTTACCAGTAGGCAGTAAATATTTTTAAATTCACAATTTACTATTATGACTACAATTGCTATCAATGGTACCAACATTCAACATCTTGTGACAGGTGTGGCATTTTTTGGTGAAGGAAGTGTTGGTTGAATTTCGTTGGGCTTAGGGATTTCCTGATCTACAAGCAATTCTGCCATTACCTAAGGACTTAGATCAGGACAATGTGGACTTGGACAGGTTAACCCCCTTCTCCTTTGCTGTCCAAGCACATTCTCAACCTATTGAGGCACCTAGACCTCAGTCACCTCTTTTTTTTAGATTTTATATCACAGATATGTTATGTTTTATCACCCATGTCATTTTATCCCTCTCCTTCCTTATTAACTCCACCACCTAAATCTGAATTATTGATTTTCTCCCCTCCAGAGTCCTAACAAAACTCAAACAGCCCTAGGGTTTGCTGAACAAGGATATGCAAGTGCATGAGTCTCTGCAGTATGTTACGGTGCAGCATACTAACCCATGCACATAATTGATCTGGAAAATGTTTGGAACAGACCCTAATATCAGGACCCTCCTTTTCCTCCCACCTTATCCTCCATCCCAGTTCCTCCCCTTCCTCAAGATCCTGTTTCCCACCAGCATCTTACAGAAGCAGTTCAAGACCTTCTCATCAAGGGTGTCAATTTCCATGTTTATATGGATGTCTGGCTTCTTCTGGCTCCATTCTTCACAGAGTCTTCCACATTCACCCAACTTCTCATCAGATTATCTGGATTATCTAGGCAGAGAAGTCCATTATCCACCCCATCCAATACCTTATTCTTCTGGGAGTATTTTTTCAAGTCAAATCTCAGTTAAGCCCAGCCTTCTGTTAATCGTTTGTGAGCCACGGAGTTTTTAGTTCAGAGGGCACTATCAGCATCTTCTATCCCTGTGCAAGTGGTTCTCTCTCTTTTGGAAACTTGGGCATCACTGGAGGCTCTTATCCCTCTGGGCCATGCTCACATGCATTCCTTGCAGTTCCTACTATAAGATCAATGGCACCTTAGTATAGACCCTCTGGATTTATAGATACCCCTTCCTGTCATGTATCTTTTGTTTTTCCCATTTTTGCTATGTTTCCTCTTCAGTTATTTCCCTTTTATTTCGGTCTATGTATCTCCATTGTCCTCCTCATACCACTCAATTGCCAGACTGGAATCTAAATGCTGTTGTCCATGCCTTTTCCCTTAGAATTGCTAGAATCATGTTTATTATGTATTTCCTTCTCCTTTTGGCTTGTAGATGTCGCAGGTCAGACTTATTTGCCATAGATTTTCACTGCATTTTGTACCACAAAACCTATGTCCTTTTATATCCAAACTGTTCCTTCCTTCCCAAAACATCATCTGCCTGCGAAGGAGATTTCACCCTCACCCCTTTTTCCCTTCCTTCCATATCCCATATTTCTTCCCTTCTGATTCGGATTGTCTCCTGTATCCAGTCCGTGCTTTATGGTGTTATGTGTCAAGCATAGCACCCTTCCATGGCTTTCACTTCCTTTCTCTTGAATCTTGCCAGTTGCTCTGTGTGTTTCATCCCATCAGATCTGTTACCTCCCAATATCCTTGGCTGCTCACTTCTGTCATCCTTTGGAGAAGATTATCCAGGGTGATATGTGGACTAGTCCCCACACCTTTGTGTTAGACTACTTGCATCATCTGGCAATTTCCTGCTCAACCGGATATTATCTTCTCCCTGTAGCTACTCTTCGTATGTTGGTACAACTCTGAGTGGGTAAGTTGTTGTTTTTTGTTTTTCAAGAGCCTACTTCACATCTTATGGATCCCACTTTGTGATGAGTGGTGCCTGTCCAAGTATACTGGTATTCAAAATCTGCACTGTGAGATCTATAAGGTCTATCATACTCACTGATGAGGTGGGGTGTTCCACAAGACTGCTTGCAGGTTCTACTTCCTCATGGTATATTGTGCCATTGATATGTTCGTACCAGACCATACACTGCTGGACTAACATGAATAAAGCAGAAAGAGATTGCTCCCCACCTTGTATGTTTCTTAGATTGTCAGAATCAGGAAAAGTTTGCTTTTCAAAATAGGGTGTCATGGTCAACCGTTGCACTTTCTCCGGTGATGCGTTCCTCCAGACTCTCCAACACATTTCTTCCCCCTGTTATTCCAGTGGAGTACTGGAATCCTTACCACTTCCCAGCCTGTGTAGAAGGCATGACTATTGTCCTGCCATGGGTCTGATATTTTATTGTAGATACTGCCAATCTGAACTGGATTTTTCAATCTATTTTGCTGTTTGCCCCTTTGGCTTGGAACCCTCCCTCCTACTGCCACCAGGATGTTGGCTCCTGGCAACTGGTTTTGGTTAGAGCTGGACCAGCTAACATAAGTAAATGTGGTGTCACAATCAAAGAGTGGAAAAAGGTAACAATTCTAAATCCCTAAGGAAAAGGTATGTATGTAGAGTGAGTAGGGCATGTCAGACCATAAGTGGGAGATCAATCAGTCCAGTGGCACCAGGAGGACCTTAACGGATCCTTGGTAGGAGGAGGGTCCTCAACCATTCACCTCAGGTCTAGGAACCTAAACCACCATGTGTACAAATCCAGCACAACCTGCAGCAAAACAAAACCAGAAATTTATATCTGGACAATATCAGGAAGTTGGAAATGCAACATGGAGGGTCAATTTCAGTCCAAAACTGATCAGCACTGGGGATGTAACATCCAGTCTACGATAGGAGGAAGTTCCCAGCATACTCATAAGTGAGGGTTGGCTCCACATGGGCAAAGAATATACCTGGTTCATATGTGGTCTCCCACATGTGTGTTTCCTCTCCATAGAGAGGGCTCACTCCATGGGTGCTTTTCAGATGCTTTTGAAGGGTACTCATGTAGGTAATTTTACACCAGTCCCTCCACCTGCTCAATGTGTGATTCTAGCCGTAACTGTGAGAAGAAGTAAGTAATCTATCGGAAGTTAATATTTTCTTACACTGAAAATATATTTCAGATATATACTTACCTCCTCTCACACTTCCCACCTGTCCACCCCACTTCCGGTATCATTTTTCGTGTCTAATCTTGAAGTGAAGATTGGGTTCAACTGCATAGAGGGAGTCAGCTGCAATAGCGAGGTTTGTCACATTCCTATTGGTGGAGGACTGTTGCATACTAATTGGCATGCTTAAATGCAGCTGAATCACGTCATATACACATGGAATTAGGTGGGAGTTTCAAGGCTAGTGGCGGGTGAAAATATGCGCTCTAGAGGGCAGTGAGCTCGAGAATAGCTGTAACTGCAAGTGCTGGTATCTATCAGAAATATATTTTCAGTGTAGGAAAATATTAACTTGAATATGTTATATTTGAAAAAAAAAACAAAAAAAGTTGTCCTAAAAAGAGGCTAAAGTGGAGGAAAACAAATTGGACATTATATGTTGACTTGTTTTAATGAACCATTGGGAGTTGGAATATTTTAGCATTCAGCAACTTTTATATTTGTGTTTGTATACATGTAAATACACTCACACATACTTATGTTACTTGTATATTCATGCACCTGTTGACATGATGATATTTATGTTTCTAAACTATGTTTCCTAATGATTTATATCTATTTTACTAAATACAGTATCTACTTTTATTCAATATTAAGGTAGCATTTTTCACATTTTCTTTTTCTTTTTACCTTAAATTAACTTCCCTCTTTTTTTTTCTTCAATTGTTTTATTTAATATTTTCTATTTTTGTTTTCTAGGCAATAAATTGTACTTGGTGTTGAAAGTAAATTTTGTAGCTACAAAATCTGATAAATAACAAGTTAATAATTACTTAAGCTCACTTATGTAGAGAAAATTTGTATCCTTCTTCAGATCGTACAGTCCTACATTGACACATTCTGAGCAGGTTCACAGTAGTTCTCGAGAAACCTCTGTTGATAAAGTGCTTACTAACAGTTCTGGAAGATGTGTTACATCTCCAACTGCAGTCCCCTCTGGTGGTAGTTCTGCAGATAACACAAATTGGCAGGATTCTGTGAGTCGGTCTTCAGAATCAGGAAAATCTGTTGATTGGACTGTCTTGTATAAACAATCAGAGATCCAGAATAGGGAAGTGGCAAAATCAGATAGATCAAGTAAAGGGAGTGATAAAAAGAAAAAGTCTTCATCTTGGTATAATGTAAGTAGTTTTGGTTGTAATGTATATATATATATTCTTAAACTATTAGTTCTTCACAACTTTGTTAAGGCCCTTTTTTATGAATTTGATAATAACTTTCTAATAAAATTTATGCTTTAACTACAGTAGGGTCTAAACTAACTTTTTGGAACAACAACATTACCCTTTTTCTACAATATAACTAGTAAGTTATGTTGAGCTACCTTGCAAATGTATTAACAGACTATGTCCTTCTGTTTCATCTCTCAAACTTTTTAGTTTGGTGAAGGTGAAAGTCTGGTCTGTGGAGTTGTTGACCAGAGAATCCATAATCTTTTGACACTTCTTTTAGTTTACTACTTTTCTGGTTCTTCAGAGCTGTTAATAGTAACCCCTTTTAAGTTGGTTAGTGATGTTTTTGTCCAGGTAGCAGCATCAGTCACCTTTTAGTTTCTTCATGATACTGAAGCCCCTGTCACAGACAGCAATATATAGAGGGTAAAGCTACTAAGATGCACTACCTTTATAAAGTTTTTAGTCTTCTTGATGTATTCTTTCACCTCTGCCCACTTGGGTATGCCAGCTTGTGAGTCACAGCCACAGTTTTGTGAAATCATGCTGATGTGAATAATGAGAATGAGATGTTGAACTTATTCTGTCCTATAAACATGATTCTGATTAGGTGAGTATTTTGTTCAAGTGCATTTATTGTTTTAAAATTTATCTGAGTTTAATCACCTCTAAAGTATTTGTCCAAGCATCGTTGATGCTAAGAACAATCTGTTTTTGTCATCTCTATCAGTTCTGCTTTAATTTTCTTGTTGTTTTATGAGTGCTCCTTGAATTTTCCATTTTGACATTTGTGGCAAAACTCACTTACCATAGTATTTTCCTCATCCTGCATGGTCTGTGCACTTTTCGATTTGGCCAAGGCACTGGGCAAAGTGATGGAGACTTTACTGATTTCACCAAAAACATTTTGAATTACTAACATGTTATAAACAAATTTACACTGTTTGAGTTTTCAAGAAGTTCACACACCATAGCTCTGTCTTTGCCAGGCTTCTTGCTGTCGTTAGAAGTTTTCCATTTGCACAGTTATGCATCGTCAGTTATCCACAAGTTTGGAAAGAACATTGTTCCATCGGTTCTTCTAGGCTTATCTGTAACTTCATTTACTTCATTAAGCCTTTTTGAAGAATTTTTGTGTAGAACAGATATATGGATGTTAGGATTTCAGTCACTATACTTAAGTATTACATTTGAAATATGATGTTTAGGAAGAGTTCGAAACTCAGGTCCATACTGAGTGTTTATATAAGTCAAGGTGCATCTGCTGTCAACAGTGTGCCAACATTATTGCAGAACTGACACTTGCATCATCCATTCCAAAGCTTACCATTTTGGATTGAAGTGCACTAGGGAAAAATAAAAAACAAAATATTGGAAGGTTTCCTGCAGAGCTTTCAGAATACCCTCAGACTTGGCATTTTTTATATCTACAAGCTTGAGGTATGCAATATGAGGAAAAGCATTTTACTATTTTGATATACAAAATTCATTTTCTGTGTCAGTTCTGTCTGTGCTACCATCAGCCATTAAGGAGAAAAGAGACATTGGCATGTAGTTGTTGTCATAATTCATCATGCAGACTACTAGCAGTTTCAGTGACGAACATCCTAACGTGCTGTGTCATTCCAATAGGTTATGCCCATTGAGATGTTATTGTTTATCTGAAGTTCTGTTATTTTCGGGAACTCAGTAAGTCATCGATAGCTACCGCATAGACTGTCCTGAACAACTTTTCCATTTTTATAAAGCTGTCAAAGTGTCCATTTTTTTGCAGCCATTTTTCATTTTCTAGCTCATTTTATTTTTAGTTTTGGCTGCATGTGAGTAGTAAATTCACCTTATGTGAGCATCATAATCATGTATCTGAAACTGAAGGATATGATACAGTCTTTGAAGTTGAGGCTGACATCATTGCTGGTGTTTCAAATGTTGATGGCATGTTTGAATGACTAGCAGAAGCTGGTTCAATCAGCATGAAAAATTGGACAAAAAACATCAAAAAACTGATTCTTAAGTAGAATGATCAAATGAATATAAATAATAGATACATTTTCAAATAATAAATAAATTATGTGAAAAAATACAGAATTTTATACATTATACGGAATGAACTTAGCTAAACCTATGCTAAATTGTCAGAAGTAAGTTTGCATTTAAAGTTGTTTATACATTGATATACTCTTGACTTATGATAGATTTCTATCTGGCAACAGAAAATGCAAATAAGTCAGAATTCGAAATTAGTGGTGGTCCAGGAGCCAATGGCTCCCAAAATGCCGGCAGGTCCATAAAAAGTGTCTGCTAGGTAGTCCTCATGGCCCCTTAAAATCAAAAGAGCCATTAAAAGTTTGATTCCTTATAACTCGATCTAAGTGTTTCTTAACTGAGCAGAACTTATGACAAGCCATGAATGGACCTTCCCAAATTTATGAACACTCCTCAGTCATGTACGATAAACAATTGTTGTCACTATGAATGCTCGTGCAATAAATGTTCAGCTTGAAGACATGTGGGCTAGCTGTGCTGGTGAATGATATATACAGCATGTATAACTTATCATGCTAAACAAGCAGTGTGTACATGTATATGCATAAGCAATACTCTAAACCAACACCCTGGGGTGCCTAGATACCTCTTCTAAGTTTCACAACAGTTCCGGTCATGTGACTTCTTTGTTCAATACTGTATATATATATATATATCCGTGTCAATGTAAATTGCTTGTACCTGATGGTGACAAAAGCTTGTCGAAACGTTGTACATTTGCTGTTATGTTAAACTTATATTAAAGTTTTTCTTCATTACCCATTCAAGCCGTCTCCAGCCATTATTAGTCTCAAAGTGGGTTCCTCGTCATCGAATTTGAATACTTGATGTGTGTGTATGTATTGTGTTCCAGGTGGTTCATAGCCTTTGCCAAGGCTGTCGAGGCTAAGGAACCCTCCTACTTGATTGTGCTACCCCGAAGGACCCAAGATAGTGAGCAGCAAAGCCACAAACAAAGTTGCTAGACAGTCTGTTGGGATATCACAATCTGGGGGTCCATGGCTGTGATGCACCTTGTTTAAAGGCTAGGTAGTTCAGGGCTCCTTGACTTATGAAATTGACATGTAAAAATGTTAGCAAGTTCTGCACTAATCACCTGGAAAGCATTCTAAATAGTAATTATGAATGAAAGAGAAAATACACCTGTGGAAAGAAATGTTATTGCCCCATGGACAATGTACTAGAATGCGTTAGAAGTGCTTTATGCAGAGTAGAAGTTTTATGCATAAAACTTCGAGTCTAGTTTCGAGCCTGGTATGGTCTTGTGATATGTGAATTAGTATGTTTGCCAGATGTTTTGTGTGTGAAAATCTAACATTTGCAGTACATGAGAAGTTATTAAAAACATAAATTATACAATGGAAAAAAATGACTGTAAAATCCAAGGATTAGATCTGTTATTTCCAGTAAGAGTATTGGTCTTTCTGTGACAAAAAAATTCTGATGCTTTTTAGGCATTTTCCATAAATTTTGCCTCATGGAAACTGTTTTTAGTGAATTTGACTAGTCAGCATTAATTTTGACAGGAAATGTCACATTTTCAATTTCATATTTTTCAACCCTATCTAGCCTGTGGGGAGTACCAAAAGTACGTCACTGGTCTTTGTTTTTGCAGTGAAAGTAATGAACCAAAATTATGAAACTTAGTTGGGACAAACTAGTTTCTAAGTTAAAAAATATCAATAAAATTTGATGTAGTATGTATATCAGTTTTTTTATTATAAAGTTTTTAAAATTTTGTTGTAAGATGGTGTTTTGGGAAAAACACTACAAAATATTACTTTGTATTGAAGGCTTTCTGTTTATGAAGTATAAGAAAGTTTCATTTTATATATACAATCAGTTTTAAATTGTTTGATATTCCTGAAAATGTTTATTTTGGTACATTATTTGCCCTATTGAAGCAGTAAACTTCCCTTTGTAAATCATGCAAATATGGCAAGACTGACAAAGATTTACTGGTGACCAGTTACCTCAAAATTTTATCACTGTTACCATTATTGGTTGTCATGTAACATGATATATTGACAATAACATTTTTGATTGAGATCAGTTTATATTTAATAACTGGAGTTTATTTTCTATAAATGTAAAACTGGTGTATTTGAGTGTGCTCATTAAATATATGAAACCTAATATAGTCCATAAACAAATATTATTCTCTGAATAACATGCCATTGCAAAACTAACTATCATACTTCCTATCATACACACATAAACTATTTTATCTCATCATTGTGCCAGGAGTGCAGGATCACAGTAATCCCACATATTTGTGTGTGTCCCTTTGAAAACAATACATTGAAGACTTGGTAAAATGCTACTTGTTTTGACCTATCGAATGCAAATCTCCATTAGTAGGCTTGTATTTTACCAAACAAGTCTTTCTGATATAAGTATTTTAAGTAATACTACCTTCATTTCATCTTTGCTTAATCAGAGGGCCACGAGAATGGAATTCTATCAGATTCAAAAGTGTCTATTGTATTGGCAAGCCTCACCTGTATGGTAAGCAGCCAAGATGCTAGCTACCCTGATCATGGCCAGGTTCATGACTTTTTTTTACATTTGCAATGGAGACGACAAACAACTTCAGATAAATGTTTTTTTTTTCTATTCTACCCGATGACAAACAACTTCAGATAAACGTTTTATTCTATTCTTCCTGATTTTTTTACTTATGCCTTTTACAAGAGTCTATGAAAGTTACAGGTTACAAAACTGATTTTTGAATTATAGTAACTGACTTGAATATAAAACTACAGCAATATAAGGGAATGGTGCATAGTGAAGCATACTAAAAGTGTTGTTAGATGGCTTAGAGTTGCAAATCATAAAATGTTAAACAAATATATTTACATGAAATAATAATAGACTTATAGGGGCCAGGCATTGTATCTGTTAATGGAAGAGCATTTAGATTGAATCAAAAGAGATTCCTTAAATTTCCTGTCAAGAAAGTGGTCACTTTAAAAAATAATAAAATGTTTTTACATTTCCTTTCATTGTTTAGGACTCATTAATGTATGTATGTAAATAAAAGAAAGTAAATAAAGGATAAGAGCATTTGTAACGTGGTTTATATTACTGAAGGAATATATAATACATAATATTACTGTACTATTACATCCCAAGAGAACCTCAAAACTACTACTTATGATGTTAATTATCAAAGAGCAAGTGATGCACATGCACCCACATATGACATTTTAAGTTCAGCAGAACTGGTTTACATCTTGCTAATGTGTAACATTCCTGCAGAATGTTTAAGTTCCGATATGATATCTTACCACTCACAAAAAGGGTTTCTTGACTTGTACTGCTCTCTATCGGCACAAATTTTTGCTCGCCACTAACATTGTTACTCTCACTTATTACTGCATACTAACATGCAAATGATCATGCAGCAACCCTCCACTGCTAGGAGTGTGACACTACCCCTATTGTAGCTACTGCCTTCTCTAATCATGCACATGTTAATCACTTCTTTATTGGCAGTCCTATTGATTAGATGTGTTTTTCACTCATCCTACCACAGATCTGATGTACAATTCCAGATGCTGCTAGGTGTTGAATGGTGCACTCTGTCATTTTGATTGCTCTGCTTTTCAATATAGGGTATCACAGTCACCCATTACAATTATCTCCAGTTTTGAAGTCCTCCGGACTCTCCAGCACATTAATTTCCCTCCTTCTTCTAGTGGAGTATAGGAGTGCTTGCCACTTACCAATTCCTAGCTACTATAGTGGAGGACCATGGAGGCCTGTCCTCCTGAGTGTAAAAAATACCACTCAGTTTGTGAGAGTAGGGTGGTGGCATTCTGTGGGTGTCAATGGTGTGATGCCCTTCCTAACACGGATCTGATGTACAATTCCAGGTGCCACCAGGTGTTGGATGTAGCACTCTTCCATATATATATATATATATATAAAATAAAAATTAACAAAAAAATGCAGTCTGCCCCTCCAGCTGAAACATTCCTCCTTCCTACCATCCTCTGGATGCTGGTTCTTGGGAGTCGGGTGTTGATCGGAGACAGTCCAGGTACATACGCCCCCACAGGTGTTTGGCTGGTATCATCCTCCTACTGCAGACTGGATGGTAAATCCCCAATGCTGCCAGGTTTCGGACTGGAGATGCAACCCCAAAATTGTGTTCCCTCTTCCTACTGTCTGCTGGATGTTGGTTCCTGGTGGATCTGGTGTTGGTTGTGTTGGTGCTCACATGCAGACACAGTTTCTTGGTAAGGGAGATCCTCTTCCCTGCTAGTACACATTTTTAAGGTGAAAGGTAGAGGACCCTCTTCCTAACATTGACCTGATGTACAATTCCAGGTGCCACCAGGTGTTGGTTGAGGTTGAACTCCCATTTATGGTCTGTCACGTCCTATCCATTCTACATTAGAGGGCCCATTATTTCTGTATTTTTTGGGACCCCTCTAAGTTCCAACCTTTACGTTTTGCCGATACATTACTCAAGGGTGAAGATAATACATAGCTCAGATTTGGTAGGTTCTTCCACTGGGGTGTTGTTTTTAACTCCTTATCAAACCTCATGGCCTTCCTTTGGGCGCTTCCTAAAGGGGGATCATCTTATCATTGGCCCTCCACCAGTTCAGTGTGGGATTCTAGCTTTTTGTGAGTGGAGGTAAGATATTTTATTGGAAATTAACATTTTCCTAAACTGAAAATGTATTTCCGATAGATGCTTACCTCTTCTCACATTTCCCACCAATCCTTCCCACTTCCAGTGGTTTGGTTAGTTATGACCAATCTTGAAGTGATTAACATGTACATGATTAAAGATGGTGCTAGTTACGATAGGGGTAGTGCCGTACTCTTATTGGTAGAAGGTTGCTACATGATCATCTGCATGTTATTATGCAATTAAGTGGGAGTAAAAAATGTTAGTGGAGAGAGAAACTTTGTGCTGGTAGAGGGCAGTACAAGCCGAGAAAGCTTTCTGTGTGAGAGGTAAGTATCTATCAGAAATGCACTTTCAGTTTAGAAAAATGTTAGCATTTTGCTTTGGAAACTTAAAAAAGTGTTGTAGATTTGTAACAATAACTTTTGTTTAATGTGAAAGTAACTAGCAAAAGCAGTGCTTACACAGTCCTATTCCATCAAATAAATATAATTGTTCATCCATAGTATCCTTTTCAGTATGAAAAACAGTGTGTGAAGAGTGTTCCACAAAGTTTCCACTGTCCCCTAATACAAAGGGATATGGGTCCTTTAATCATTTGAACCTAGGAATAATACTGTATCTAATGTACACTGTGTAAACAGTTTCTTGACTGGTGTATGTGTGTGTGTGTGTGTAAGTCAATCACAAAAATTTTGGCTATTTTCTGTTAGTATATTTGAAAGCCCATAATGTACCAAAAATATTTTTAAAACTTTCAGATTTTTAAACTTAAGTATTTAGTAAATTTTGAAGTTTTTCTTTATTGTACTCATTGTTTTGTTTTGCTAAGGTCACTGCATAACAAGCTTTAAACAGTAATGTGAATAAGTAACTATTGGCTCTCAAAAAACTCTTAAGCAGCAAAGTCACTTATCTTTCACAACATGGCTTGTAATTTATTTTCTCTTTTATTTGCTAACTTAAATGTTTTTTTTAAAAGTAGTGCTGGATGTATTACTTAGTGAAACAGACAAATTGAAGGTAAGGAATCACCAATATGATTTATGTACCTGTTTTCACATTACAGTTATGATGTTAGCATGCATCTAAGTTATATTGTAAATTCAAAGACTTACAAAGTGTATAATTTAAAAACATTATCTCTCTAGTGTTTAGATAAAGACAAGTAATTGCTCAGTCCAGTGGTGTTTGTTCCTGAAATACAATTTGTAAGCCAGTTTAGTATAAAGCATAGTATCTCTACAACCCTTGAATGCCTAACAGAGTGAAATTGAGAATTATTTTCTAGGGCCAAATACTATCTTTTACTGAAAGGCATTTTCTCAACTATTCATGTATAAAAAAAGAAAAATGTAAGAAAACATTAGAAGATGTTTTTTAGTTTATGGAAGTTGGATACTCAAAATTGTAGTTACAAGACTCCAGTTTATCTTTTTTAGTTTCTGTGCACACAAAAGTCAAAACCCCTGCAAACCAACAAAGCTATATACATCAGATGGTACATACACATAGTTGCACGTATTAACATGTTGGATTTATACTTTTAATCAAGGCTGGTACTTTAGAAAAGTTTCAAAGGAGAATTGATTATTTCTTGAAAAAAGGATGGGTTTAATTTGATGTTTAATCTTTTATATTTTAGTTGTTTTCTAAAACCTAAAGTAGAAAGGTGAAACTTAAGTGAGGCAAAATAATGAATCATGGATGTGCATTTGTTTTTTTGAAATTGATTCAAGTTTGGTTTTATATTGCTAAACAAAGTTGAAGGTATTTCGTTTCATAGATTTGAATCTTAAAATGGTACACAGAATGTTTTTCACAATCAGATAAAGTTGTTTGGCTAAGTACATTCGAAAATTCACCTATATATTGATACATGGATTTCCTTCATGATTAACAGCATAATGAAATTGATATGGGTGAAACTTTCAGTGAAATTACACTTACATTAATTTGAGTAAATTTAAAAGTTTTTTTACTTTGTTTCTGAATGTCTCTCTATGACCTTACCTATCTGTATGTCCATGATCTTGCAAAACATTTATGCATAATGGCATGTATTTTACTCTTAGTTGATCAGTAGCTTGGGTGTTGGACTATATTTTACATTTTTGAGGAGAATCTGGACATCATACTTGTGTATTAAGCCTATTCAATGTAATTACTGATCACCGAAATGGGCCTATTTTAAATAATCTAGTAAAGTTGTATAGCTAGAAATGTGAATTTGCAAAAGCTACTTTACCATACAGTCCTGGTGTCTTTGCTATATTATCTGAGGATAAATAAATATAGGACTCTAAGTTTCCAAAGCTGTGCAGCTCTTGGTGCACTTGTTTTTACTATTATATGTTGTAAATATGTGCAAAAAAAATACTTTAAAAAAATCCAACCTACTTTTGAATCAGACTTCTCTACAACTATACATATTAAATTTTTTTAACTGGAAAAACCTGTTACTAAAACATTATAGTAAGGCTTTTATTTTTATTTGTTTCTAACTTCAATTAATATGTAAGAAATTTGGCTGATTATAGTGTGAATACATAGGAGTCACAGGTATACGTAACAAACCATATGTTAAAAATCCACTTGTTTTGCTAGTAATTCAAATGATTTCACAGGTTCTGAATCCAACGTATAAGTCACGAAGTGATGACTTCAAACGTCTTTTCAGAGACCTGCCAGAGTCAGAGCGACTTATTGTAGGTAAGGGTTTTGAATAAATAATTTCAAGAAATCATATAGTTATCAAATCATATACCATTTCTTGTGGAAATATGGTTTTGTGCACGAGTGTTTATATAAATGTACTCCACATGGTGTAACAAAACTAACTAACTCATACTGGATAACTTGTTTAAGGTGAGAGGATTGAAATCAGCTGTTGCCATGCGTCGTGAGACTTCTACATGTGTTGAACAGTCATTGGACACCATGTGAAACAGTTGTGATTTTTGAGGTGCTTGATTTCACATTTACACTGCCACCTATCTTACATTCTCCATGTCTCTTCAACAATTAACATATCTATTGGTGTAATGAGGTTGAAAATCTATGTATTAATTTTGCAGATTTATTCATATATTTTTCTTGTTTCAATTTGTATTCACTTTTTTAGTTACTGTTCCTCTGATTTTTGACTTTTTGTATGATCATTGTATTAGTCTTTATTTTTCATGGATTAATTACATTTTTTATTTATGTATTTATTTATTTATGTGTTTTTGCATATGTTTACATTTAATATGTACGTACTGAATAAGATTTAAATTCATGTGATATGTAACAAGATGTTCTTCACAGTAAAATTTCACATGACCTACATCCACTTGTTATTTTTCCAAGATTTGCTTAAGAATAAAGGTTTGTATTCAGTAGTACATGTATGCCATATGTCTATGTTTGTAACACATAAACTGTGTTGCTTAAAAATAACTTCTAATTTTATATGCCATATTTAATGCACAAGTAGTGATATTATTATTAAGGTATATTGCTGAAAATATTGTTGATTGCGAGGATACTCAACTGGTGAAACAATGTATTCTAATCTTCATAAATAAAAATCTAAAATATATATATTTAATTAGCTATACTCATTAGCAGGTTGATTTTAGGTTTTCTCCAAGTAGGTAACTTGCTCTGATTGGAAATTAATATTAATTGTACATGTGCATCATATGAGTTAATGTGTCTTGTTTAACTCATATAGTGTTTCACATAAAATATATATGGTGTTGCTTCATTGTTAGTTTGGTGAGCTACAATAGTGATGTAGTTAAAATAATTTTATAGGTACTTTTTTTTATTGTTAATCTCTATTAGACCAGTTAGGATAAAGTGTTAAAATTACTTAAATCAAATTGTACTTTTCTAACATATTTATGCTCTTTCAGATTATTCGTGTGCCTTACAGAAAGATATTCTAGTCCATGGACGATTGTATGTTTCTGAGAACTACTTCTGTTTCTATGCGAACATCTTTAGATGGGAAACGTTTGTGAGTATATCGTATGAATTTTGGCCACAGTATAAAATTTAATTTTATAGACAATGATATATGTATAAGATATTATTGTTAATAAATTATTAATAATAATATGCATTTAATATTTAATTAAACTAGTTGAACATTCAAACCTTTAAATCACTTATCTTTTACAACATGGCCTGGAATTTCTTATCCCTTTTATTTGCTAGAATATCATTCATAGCAAAGATTCCCAACTGGTATAACAGTCATTATAATCTTTATAGTCTTCACAATTTAATTGACTTGAATTAAAAAGATGTCTATAATCTAATCAGTAAGTGTAAATATAAACCTTTCAGCATTATGAATAGTCAAGGTAAGCTTCGATTTTGTGGTTTTATCATATTAATAAAGATACTGAATAGGGAAAAACATTCTCTTAAACTTTGCAATGCTATCTGTTTGGCCAATGAAACAACATTTAGTTGTTGGGCAATTGAAGTATTTGTATTCTTCAGGTCACTGAAGTTTTGTTTCTTGTAAACATTTAGCCATTTATATCCAAGAGCATTAATGCTATATTAATAGCTGTTTGAATTTTTTGTCTCAAAAAAAATGTTGATGAATTTGAAGCTTACCATATCTATAGTAACTTGACATATTTTAGCTGCTAATTCAGTGTCGGGACATCACAAGTATGACCAAAGAGAAAACAGCCCGAGTAATTCCAAATGCTGTACAGATATGCACTGATAATGAAAAACACTTCTTCACATCATTTGCTGCTCGAGATAAAGCCTACCTAATGCTCTTTCGAATATGGCAAAATGCCCTTTTGGAGACAGTAAGTAGAATGTTCACTAATAAATGTTTTTTAACTAGTATACTTTTACTAAGCTTGTATTGTTTTGTTTCGTATCGTACAACTTGATATTCCTGTTGAATAAGAATAAAGTTCTTTAGATACACTAATTGTTGGTGAAACCCTCAGTGTTCAGAATGTAGGATTTATTTCATACTAACCAGTTGAGATTAAAAAATAATTATCAAATGTGCTAATACTTTGCCTTTATTTTTTTCCCAACCTTTTTCTGTAATCTTAAATTTGGTAGTTTTTTTTTTTGTAAAGTGTTTGTGATATGTTTGTAACATTTAATTCTTTATCGGCATAAAAAATGTATGTAAGATATAATTTATTAATCTGCCAATTTCTAAGAATAGATTGAAATCAAAAACTCAGTAATGATCTATTAATCAAGAGAATTGAAACCACCAGTGTGGTAATGAAGACATCAAAATATAGGGAAAAAATACAAACTTTTCCATATCTTATTGTGTGACAGAAGATAACTATTTTAGTGGTCCTAAATAACAAACAGTTAATGATCAAAGAACTGAACATGTTTGTAATTGTGTGGTCTGCAGGCATGCTGTGAATGTGATACATTCTTATTTTAATGTTAATGTAGAATTTTTCATTCATTCTGTATTTATGTAGTTTCACATAACACATGGTCCAGAAAGCTATTATATTGACTTTGTTCTTTGTTAATCTTTAGATATAATACCTGTTCTGCTTTTGGGGGAATTGCTGTAACGTTGCATTTTGTGCAAGAATTTAGATGGCAGGAGTATATTTGAATGGTAAGCCAGGTGATATCTCAGGTTACAGAATCCCCTATGTTAAATGAGAATATTCAATAACATGGATAGTAGTAGTAACTGTGGGTAAATCTGATGTTTTCTATTAATTAAGAAATGTTATATTTAAACAGTATACACAGGACCTCAAGTGAGTAGGTTGAGGGGAAAGACATCTCAAGGAAAGGAAATCAGTTAATTGATTCATGAGTCCAGTGATAATTGACCATTCAGTGTCCAATGCAAGCATGCACACTGTGTTTTTGTCTTTGCAACTAAGTAAATGCCATTTTCATTTTGTATTACACATTATTTCCAGTGTCTTTATTTCTTAGATTAAGATTAGTCAGTTTAGTTAAGCTCAGCATTACTTTGTGATTTATTCTTTTGACCCTTCCATTATAAAGTCTTGTTGCTCTTTCAGCATACTGGTGTGAGACAATATGTTATGCAACACTCTAATGACTTTTCTAGTTCACTTGGTAATAAAAGTTGTGTGCTAGGCTGAATTTTCATAAGGTGTGAATTTTTATTAAAGTCATGTGCCTAGAGCTGGAAACACTGGACGAGATAAATGTAAGATGAAGCATCTCAAAATACATTGCAGTCTTCAAGCCTTACATAACTGCAGCTTGTGTAGAACATTTATTAATCATGAGAATACAGTTATATACATTTAGAACCTCAGCTAAAATTAATAGTCATATTTAATTTGTTAAAAGCATTTCTTCTGCTTTATTTTAATATCTATTATTTTAATATTAAGCTTTATAAGTGAAAAACATGTCGCAGCTTAGCAAAATCTAACAATCTTTGGCTTTGCTTGATTCAGTTGTTGAGAAAATAACAAAATGAAGTGGGTTGATTTTATTTATATAAATTTAATAATTAACAATTTACAATCAATGTAGTGCAGTGTGTTTTTCCACTACACAATTACTCATCATCCCTTTTTAAGAAACTAAAAGTCTTCTAGTGAACTCCATTAGAATTGCTTCAGTCTTTTCAAAATGATGGTGTTTTGAATTTAGTTTTTTGGCTGTTTTGAAAACTCTTGATTCACAAGAGTCAAGGATGATTTATTATTTCTTTTGTATTTTGTATCTTTAAAAATATTATTCACCTAGAATTTGTTTGGACCATCTTTTTTTAACTATCAAAATAATAAAAAAAAGATGATAACTTCTAAAATAAAAAAACAACAACAACCTGGAAGTAAAAGAAGGTTTTATTTCTTAGACAGAAAGGTTCAGTGTTCTAATGTGACAAAATACTTTTTAGGTAAAATAGATGAGCTGACCACAGTTAACTCTAGGTTTAAGTGGAATGACATTGTATATCATATTTGTATATTTGTAACTTGAAAATATAGAGGAAACTGAATATAGTTATTTTGAAGAATAGCTGATAACTTCTTGTAATTAATTAAAAGGTTAATTTAAAGGCTCAATTTTGAACCAAAAGTATTTTTAGAAGAACCAATTTACCAAATTTGTAAAGTAATTTTGAGTATATAAATTTTTCAGCTTTAATACTATGTGCTTATTTTATCACTTTTACTCTTTGTACTGTTTCTGACACTCTCACAGTAATAAGAGGTAAAAATTGAGTGAGAAAAATAATCCAATAAATAGTTGGGGGCTAGAAGTTGAAGTAAATTTCCATTGAATTTAAAGTTTTCAGACAAAGTTGTTGATGTTAGTAACTTTTTTGCTGAATTTGGTAAGCAATTTTTATTACAGTATTCCACAGATATTGTGATATCATAAATAAAGAAAATGTTTGAGAAATTTTTAGAATCATTGGAATAAATGTACTTCATTAATTTCACTAGACTTTCATTTTTTGTTGATAAATGAAAGATTTGTAAAGTTTTTGCCATCTTTAATAGAAGAAGTATCATGATGAATTTGTTTCTTGATGTATCACATAAATTGTATGTCTATCTGCTTAAAACTCGTAAATGTAAACATTTATAGAACGAACTTCTTGAATAGGCCATGCATAAACACTATGAGCAAAGAAAATGTATTCAGTTTCTGGTTAGATTTTTAATATTTAACATAACTCTTCTTATACTGATTTAATACTTTAGAGAAATTCAAATTAAGTTAAAGTGAATTATCTTCTATTTCTTTGTAGTTAAAAAATAATACTCAGCTATAAATGAAAGTATCTTGAGCTTGGAATATTGTGCTTCTTGTAAATATGGGACAGTTTTTCATCATAATCTGAATATCAAGTGTTTTATCTAGTACAAAAGATACATCAGTGACTATTATAAATGATATTCAGTGCATTTAACTTTTATCATTTTTTATGTTATCAGGAATTGTAATTGAAAAGTACTTGTGTATGTAGTAGGTCACCTGTAGCTCTTATGGCTAAGAAGTTAACTCAATTTGAACTTGCTGATAGCTTATATGTATAATTGGCTCTTGAGAAATTCCAGTGAAATTCTTAAACTGAGAGTTCATTGCAGTTGGAGTATGAGGAGAGAAAAAAAAATCTTTTTTTAATGAATTCAGTAATCATTTATAGACTGGAGAGGTGGCACTAATATCCCATATATTTGTGAGACAATTTTCTAAAAAAAAAACATTAAATATTCCCTTTCTTTGTAGGATTTCAAATTTTTCTAACATTAATCAAAAAGTTCCATTTCTTATATCCAATCAGTTTCAACTTGATTAATGTTCATTAAAATACTTTTCTTTTTTATACTTTATTTTGCTAATCACAGTAGTCACCACTTTTGGCTATAAAGAGTAAAAAAACACTGCAGAAACTTGCAAGTTATCATTGATCTAAGACATGACTTTTCAAACTGACATTGGATCAGACTGGGTAACAATAATTTTGCTAATAAATTCTAGATCAAAATCAATTTATATCTAATAAGTATTCTCCCTTTTCAATAAATCGTAAGTTCTTTTATGTGTGGTTTTAAATACGATTAATTTAACAATAATATTTAATAAGTAAGCATTTCAGTTATCAGAATATTTTACCTTTGCCCTACCCTATTCTTTAAACCTAAGTAGGCTTTCTTGGTATTATTTCATACAAAAAACTGTGGCATTCAAACAAAAACTTTTTCAAGAATGTAAAGAATGTTTAAATAAGCTATAAAAAATTCTGAGATGTTTGGTTTGTTCTTAAGTCTTCTAAACTTCCCGCTAGATTTCTTTACTTTTCTTAACAGGAGGTTGGTATGTTACTTTCACACGCATCCATATATTTCTTCTCTCATTATTTTATTCACTCTACAATAACATAAATAATTTATAATCTGCTCTATCCAGTGGTACTTTAACTTTGCCTTATCTGTTCTCAAAGTTGAGGCTCATTAGTAGTTGTTAACATCAAATGCAATGAGGCCATAAGAGACTGTACTAATAAAAACAGAGAAAGGATGATAGTTTTTGATAAATGTGTTGTGTATAGGTGAGACTTCTCAGAACTTTGCAGAAATGTAATTTGAACTTTTATTTTTTATTGGTCTTTTTGATTTACACTAAATAAATTTAAAAAATGACAAAACATCAGTTTTAAAATAGTTCTGATTAAAAAAATTGTTGAAATAGAGCTAGAATTATTATGTTTACTTAAATTTGGAAAGTTGAATTGCAGGTGTGTATTTAACACTTGAAAAGTGTTCACTGGTCTGGTTAGGGTTAATGGATTAACTAAGAGATATATGATAAAAATGTTTCTAATTAAGTGTAATATTTTATCACATTTATAACCCCTAAAGAGTTTTTGTGTTTAACCATCATAAGTATTTCATGACTTATCTTAAAAGACCATACATACTTTTATTGTATTTGTCTTATTGGCTAAATTTATCTCAAATTGTTTTAAATGATTTATTTTTTTCACGTTTAAGTTTAAAGAAAGTATTGTTTTTTGTCTTGTAAGTTAAGGCATTTGACTTTCAACCTGTGGGTCATGACATAAAACCTATTACTGATCATTCTCACCCTTTCAGCTGTGGAAGTCTTAGGACATTACGGTCAATCACACTATGTTAGGAAAGAATAACCAAAGAGTTGACAGTGTTGTTGACAAGTTACCTTCCATTTAGTCTATTACTTCAAAATTAGAGATGGTTAGCACATAAAATTGCATGAAATTCAACAAACAAATCTCCTTTTTATATTTTCAAATAGCCCATGTCATCACAAGAGCTATGGCAGTGGGTACATCACAGTTATGGAGATGTGCTTGGACTAACTAGTGATGATGAAGATTATGTTCCACCACTGTCACAAGATGATGAACGCAAAACTGACAGCAGTCGTGTGTGTGCTGAAGTGGATGAAACACTTAAAGAAGATGGCTGTATTTCCGAGAAATACGAAACAGCATCAGCCACAACACATGACTTTGAGGAGTTTTCAGTAGCAGTAACAACAGTGAGTTAGAGAATTACATGGTGTTATATTTGTATGTGAAGTTCTTTCTAGTCATATTTATGCACTTGTAAGCATTATTGTGATTTTTATGCAAAAAAAGCTCATTTTTTAAAAACAAAATCTCCAGCAATTAAAAAAAGTGTTAATATAATAGTTCAAAAGATAATAGAAATGTGTGTAATTATTTAAATATTTTAAGAAGTGAATATTGGCAATAGGTTCACAGTGATTATTCATAACATTAACTCTTCTCTATGCTTACATCATATGGTAATTTTAAGTGTATATATGTTTGCAATGAATTTCTTACAACTGCCACATCATATCTACACTTCTATAGAGATATTGCTGATTAACAAAAAGTAAGAAATGTATTTTTTTCCATTTATAGAAATATTACTTGAAATAACTTAACTTTCTGCCATATGTAGAAATTAGCTTCCTTTAAATTTTCATGTGTTTTTATTTTAACAAGATCACTCCCCCTAATGTCACACACTGTGCTTTGGCTATATAAGAATCAATTTCTATTTCAGTTTGACAATATGATTGATATTTTTAATAAAGTTTGAAGAAGGAGTTACTACATCTAGGTGCTGGTGCACAGACTTTGTAACTTACATTTCCATAATAACCAGCATAATATTATATCTTTAGAATCAGTTTTTTATTTTTCATTCCTCTGAATACACTCAGCATAGAATTAGTACTATTCTGGGACAAGGTCAATTAAGTATTCATCCAAACAGTAAAGAGTTGATGACTGAACCTGGCTTAGTTTGCATGACTTAAATTTGGTACATTTATAGTTAAGGGAACCATGTATGTTTGTTTTTTTCTCTGTAATTTTTGAAAATATTGCACTGCCTTCATTAGTTGAATTCTTTGAGGTAAGGCCATGTTCAGCATGATAATGCACTTTACTGCATACTCTGTTTGTCAGTAGTTTAAAATATATAACATCCAAAATTTGCTTTAAGAAGCCCAACAGTTAGACTTGAATTTGACTGACGTGATTAGGGATATTTTGAAATGCTGATTGAGTGATAGAAAGGACAAACCATGAAAAATTAACTACTTCACAATAGAAATGATCACTGATTCCATCAGTTTTTTCCCCCAAACTTTGGTGCTAAGTGTTAGAAGTAGAGTCCATCCTGTGATTAAAGCCAAAGTTTGCCCCACTCTTTACATAAATTGCTATCGTTAGTATGAAACACATCTTTCTCCTATGAAAGGTGTGCTGTAACATTACATTTGGTAATATTATGTATAAATATGTCAGCTCATTATAATGAATTACCAAGGATTTGTGAGTTTAACTGTAGGTTTTCTTCTCATAGGTTTCTCTATTCTAAAAACCTATATCTACTGTGAACAAGGACTAGAGAATTGATAGAATCCTGCACTTCTCAGCTTGACTTTGATAAAAATATAAAAATTATCCTGAAAAAGAAAATACTTATCATACCAAATAAAGAGAAAAGTGAATATGAAATTTTCAGTTAAGTACAGAAAAATGAAAAGATACTTTAGGAAAATCTAAATAGTAATTTATTAATTTCATTCCACAGAATACAATATACATTGAAAGTACTGATCTTAAATCTTAAAAGCATAAATCATTAGAGTCATGCAAAAACAATATAAATAACTTTGCCATATAAAAACACAGACAACCTCATAAAAGAAAAGAGGATATTATGATGGTGCAAGAAGACAAAAACAGCATTGCAATCATCTTCTTAGGTGAAACTGTCAGAACTAATTTCTGTTCACCAAAATAGGACCCAACATCCCGTATATTAAAACATAAAGCAACATGGATGAACAAACAAAATTAGGAAATGTGACCAAAAACTTACTTTCTTGGAACTTAAAGGATTATTAAAGTTTTAAAACTCTTGTTGTATTAAAAAAATTGTTGTTTTCTATACAAGTTCACCAGTTTATGGTACAGCCATGTTTATCCATTCTTTTGAAACTCGTACCAACAGATTCTGAAATGATCATCAAAACTACTGCTATTAACCGTGGTACAGTTACACCACTGATTTTCCGCACCCTTGGTTCCATAGCCTTTCCTGGATTATTCGTTTTGTCGGACCAACAGAGGTTATGTAATAATAATTGTAAAACTACATATTCTTGGCAACATTCATGTTAAAAATTAAAGCAATTTGATCTACTACTTTAATATTTATAAGAACATTGTCACGAGAGTGACGTACCTACTTAAAATTTAAGTAGCCCATCCCAAAAAAGTGCGTGCCAGACACAATGCCATCTGTGGCTGCCCAGTGAACTAGTTTGGCGGTCACGGGAATTTTAAGTGCGCTCTTGTAATTTTGTCCAGATTAAAGGAGGTGCCGGACTATGAGTTTCCAGAAAATTGGTGGTGTACTGTATTAGGAGTTAGCTATAATACTTTGTTATTTTTACTAGGATATCATCAAAAAATGATTAAACTCTGAGGAATTACTTCACTTTAACATATTTATGAATCAGAAAAACATGTAGGTTCAATAAGTATTAATATAAAATTATAAATACCCTGAAGCAGAAATTTTCACCTTTCTAAAGTGCTCGGGTTAGAGGGTTTTTATCATTTCACTTTAAAATAAATTTTATAGCAAAAGTCATTGGAAAATTGTATTACAAACTCTGCCTGAATACAAACTACTCCACTGAAACAAGTGATTTGTAAAATTCAATGAGGAATGATTAATGGTTCGTGTATGTTTGCTTAAACTGATTTATAAACTTCATACGTCGTAAGAAGGTAACTCTCTCAATATTGTTTTTTCAGCTACCAAAGTATTTCACGTCTGTTGGCTTCTGATAAATTTTGAAAACATTACTAAATGTGTTGTAATTTTAAAAAATGAATAAATGCTATTTATTCTAAAACCTGTGGAAGAAAACCCCACAGGTTTCTTGACAACTCTTTCAGTTTCAAAATTGACTAAATGTCATATGTAACCATTCATCAAGGGCTTGAATGCATTCTAGTTTGAAAGTAAAGCATTTTGAACTATACTGCCTTATTACCAAATATCCAATTTCAGAATTTGGTTTCTTACATACAAGCAAGAAAAGAATAGAATAAAGTGTGCATTTTGAACTTTGCATGTTATACATTGGGAAAATTATATGCCTACTTCATGTGTGACAACTTAATGATTAAAATAATCTTTTAAAGAGATTCGAGAACAACAAAGGAGAAAAATAAGAGTTTTTTTTTTTCTATTAAGATTACACTGCAGCATTATTAAAACTTCAGACTCTGTAACAGTGGTTGGGTAATGGTAACAGTTCTGATTAATACATATACTTGATTCTGCTTTGAATATAACTATCGGCATGACCTAATGGATGATTTATTGTGACAAGGTATATGTTTTTAACACAAGAAGCTCAGTTTGTTAGTAATAGTGATATAATGCTCTACTTCAAATTTCTTTCTTTTAAATTATTTTGTTGTATGAACTTTTTTGTCATTTTTTGAGATTATAGTAGAGAAGATTAAGGACATTATGTTAAAATGATTTTGAATATATAAATAAGGAAGTCACATGGCAGCCTGTTATAAATTGGTGGTGGAACAACATGTATCAGAACTACATTTTGTAAGCAGTGTGATGTCACTAAAAACTGAGTGACTTTGGGAAGAGTATGTAATAGCTCATAAAGATATGATCATGATCAGAGATTTCAAATTTCTAAGATAGGGATATTCATTTTACTTAATGGCATTGGAAAACAAAGGAATACAGATTAATTAGAGTCACCAGGACCATCTGAAAAAAAAAAGACCTACAACAAGTTGTAATCTAGTAATGGTAAGCAAAGTGTGATGTCTTGTAACAGATGAGAATATAGAAACACAAAGGTCAGTGGCAGAAACTTTCCACATGCCCCAGGCAACAGTACATAACATAATTGAGAAGGATCTTCGTCTGTAAAAGTGACTTGAGTTACGTGTACACAAGTTGCTTCCACAACATACCTGTTTAACTGTTGCAGCCTCAAGCAACTGGTGAATGAAAAAGGTATTTATGCTGTTCCATATGAAGACATACTGGTCAAGTCCACTGATGCAGCACTTATGGATTTCTGTATCATCAAACTGTTGAAAAAGGTGTTGGGAAACAATCATCCTTGTACACTAGATAGATTATGGAAAGCACTCTGAGAGGAGTGGTGTGATTTGGACATGACATTTTTATGACAGAGCATTTTCTAATGCCAATTACGTTGCAAAGCTGTTGTATAGATGCACAGTTGTCAGATAAAGAGTGACTGAACATGGTGGAATGGACTGTAAAAAGATAGTAAGACCCCAAATTCAATTTAATATAAACATACTTAGCCTCTGTATACTTGCTGGTTTGAAAATTTTACTTTGTGATCACACTTATTTTATATTTTATCTTAGGAGACATTAGAACGGTCAGAAGTCTGTGATTCCCTAGAAGTGGAAACTGTTGAAGGCTTGCAACAAGTACAAAACATTATTCCAGCAGGAAAACTACATTCCTCTCAGTTTCCAACAGATTTCAGTGACACTACGGAGTCAGGATTAGATGACAGTAAGAGATTTGGTACCATAATAATATTGTAAAATTACAATGAAAAGATCGTATGTGTCTCTGTGTACTTGATAAAGAACTTCTGCTTTTGTACGACTAGAATATTTTATGTAGGTTAGAATAAAAAATTGGTAAAACTTTATTTGTTTAATCAGTGCAGGCTGCAGTAATGATATGGATAAGGAAACAGAGTAATCTGTTAAATAGTTTGATTTAAGGAATGAAATGAAATCTTCTATAAAAATCAAATTGAATTAGTTTGTTGAATATAGTGATATATTTTGTTATCAATTATATTATGGAGTTGTTTGCATTATTGGTTGTTTTAATGGTACTTTATTTTATAATATTTGCTTTAACTTCTGTTGTCCTCTAAGAAAAGCTCTCATAAATGATACAGTTTCTATGTAGGTTAAATTAACTTGTCATCATGAGCATATGGTTCCACAAAATATTCCTTAAAATTATCTTTTTTTATGGTAGTTGGTGAAATACCTTGTATGTGTTCCAATCATGATGGGAAGGAGATGATGAACTGCATAATTCCATTACCAATTGATCAAGTCTTTACCCTTGTCTTCACTGGATCAAAGTTTTTTCATGATCTTCTCACTTCGAGAAAAACATTTAGTAAGTATGGGTATACTTGGTGCATATAATACATAGCTATGTATGTGTGCTTGTTTATTCAAATATACTCAACTGCACATTTAAAAAAAATGTGGCTGGGTTTAGTTTTTAAAGGAAAGAAACTTTCCCAAACTGGGGTGTTCAGGGATGTTAGCATCCTCTTTCACCCTGCTTGTGGAAATTTATTAGTTAGAATTGTAATCAATAAAAAATTTAATTGCCGAGAATAAATAGGTATTGTCTTAAGGTGATTTTGGCGTTGTGAGGTGGAGGAGAGATGCCCAGAGGGCTCCGTGGCAGAGAGAAGAGCTGATGGCTTCGATGATGATGACAAAAAGAAGCAAAGCGACAGATTTTTTTGACAAAATATACTCCAACAAACTTCCCTTAATTAGGGTCACAGTGTGGCTGGGATCTGAAAATCCAATGCCACAACTGGGATCATTAATCATCATGCAATTGTCTATTTATTGTTGCAGGTAGTTTGGTTTTTGGTCACTATATGTTTTTTCTTCAGTGTCGTAACATAACCAATTTCTTAAATATTTTTCTTTCTAATAGTTTAAGCTGTTTTCTTACAACATTACTCTTCTGTTGACTTATGTTAAGTTACTTTTATTGTGTTTCTAAAAGAAACATTGTTCAAACAAAAAATTTCAAAGAAAAGTTTGTGTAAAATAAATGGATTTGGTTATTTAAATGTAACTTTGGCTGTCAGTTGTATTGTGAGAAAAATTGATACACCATATTTTCACATAAATAAGGTTTGCTTGCACTATTATGTAATTTTTATATCCCCCCCAACTGAAAAGGTTCAGGGAGTTATAGCAGTGATTTTTCATCTGTATATATCTAATTTTCACACAAAAACTGGGTCCAATGCAGTAAATATGAATCAAACTTTGTAGGTCACTGCCCTTGGGGATGGAGAAGAACCCTATTGACTATTGGGTTAAAAGCTCGAAGTTCAATGTCATCTTAAAAAAAATTGATTTTTTTTTTTTTTACTAAAAGGAAACAATACTACAAAATTTACATGAACACTAATATACCACATTTATTAACACATACATGCATGTGCACACAGAAAGATAATGGCTTGAAGGACCAACCATTCTATTGATTGTTATTTTCATTCTACAGATAATAGCTAACTTTTTATATAGATTGATATCTAATATCCACTTCCAAAATCTCGTGTAACATTTTTTTCATTTTACTAATAGCTTTCATTAAAAAATTACAATTATTGACACTCCAAAAATGTTTATATAATGAAATCATTTTTCAACTTTTTCATCTAGTTTTGTCAAAATTTGTTTCAGCTTAGGTTTTGTTTACTCTTCATTTGTTCTAAAATATTTCTTCTTATGCAGCTAACTTGCTAATGCATGAAGAGTTCTGTACAAATAGCTTAAATATCAGTGTGTGGCTATTAAGCACTGAAATCTAGCATCTTCAGCTTACTATATTGTTTCATATAGATGAAAAGAGTTTGTTTTTGGTTTATCTATCACTGTTTCATGGTCTACTTGTATATGAAGTACACCTTAACATGAGTGCATGTATTGCTGGTGTTGAAAAACTTGCATGTTTCAGGGTGCAGTCAAGTGGAAAATATTTGGCCAGTTGGTACAAAAAATGGGTGTTATTTCAATCTGAAGTAGACTCTAAATCCAAAGTACAAAGAATGGATCACTGAGGATTTACGAAACAAATATAGTCACATGCATAATTTGTGGTAAATATTTTTACAATGAAAACATGGGAGAAGTTGGACTATCCATACATACATCTGCTGCCCCATGATCCAGGGCTAGAGTAGGGGGCAAGATGATAACCATAATAAACTGTGGTTAAAAATGATCAGTTCAAAATTATTTTGGATGATTTCTAATTAAACTGGTCATTTTACCTAGTTAATGTGACTGCTGTGTTAGCCTTAAAACTTTTGGGTGTGGAAATTTACAATTAATCTTGAAATGGTTTTTTATCCTCAAAAAAGTTTACAAACCCTGGAATTTATATTTTGTCATTTTATAACATTTATTTAATGTAATTCATAAAGAATAAATTAATGTTCATTTCTGTGCAGCTGTGAGGAGTCTCACCTATAAACAGAGCATTTCCTGATTTCTTTTAGAATTTTTCTGTCCATTTGAAAACACAGGTTTGTATTTGCTAATAAACTATCATCCCTTTAAAATCCATGTTTTATTTCTCATGATTTTTCTTTGGTTTCTAAGATTTCGTTAATATAGCCTTTCATTCCAACAATTCTATGATCTCGCACCATGCAAAGTCATCGTAGTGTGGGGACTGTGGGGAAACCTGCACCCATAAGTTTTAGGATATGGGAGTGGAGGTATCTCTGTGGCACAATAGAGGCTGAACAGTGTGTTACTCTTAAATTGTCACAAAAAGAAAACTGATGTATGTGCTGGATATTTAACAGTTGGCAAGGTCTTCATCATAGCTGATGACAGAAGAAAGAATTTCTTTAGCAACTTTCTCAGTAAGGTCATTTGTATAAAAATAAAGTGATTTATCATGATAACACACTTGATTATCTTTCTGTTGACTAGTATTTTAAAGTATATGTACATTTCAACATCTTTGAGCATATTAGTCATTTTGTATACTTATGAGTTAATAAAATGGCATTTTACAATACATTATTACATTACATGACACATTACTTATATATCACTATTACACAAAATTCAATTACATATACATGTATAAAACCTTTCTGGGGAAGATGTACACACACTTCCCCATGTGCCTGTGGTGAACTCTTCAGTCACCCCCAGCTTGAGACTTATTCCGACTCCTGTTGTATATGATCTGTACAACTACTATTAAGCTCAGCTTTGAGAATAACTACAGGTAAATTTTAAATGACATTGTATAGACATATTATAAACTATATACATCAGTATTATAATGAATAAAGTGGTGTAGAAGTAATTTATGGTTTCATGAGAAAGTGGTTACCAAGCTTCTGCACAGAACAATAAAAGGTAAAGGGAAATTTAGATGACCTATTAACAAACCACAGTTTTGGGAATTTTTTAGTTTCTTTAGATGGTTTTTCTCTCTTTACTATGTTTTTTTAGTTAAATTATATTCGTTTGTAAGCTATGCAGATTTTGCTTGAAAAAATAATTAATTAGATTTATTAGCAAGCAGGATAGATGATGTCAGAATATTTTAATGATTCAAATCCTTTTTTTATTGAATCTTATTGTTAAATTAACTGTATTCAAACAATGCACTTGAATTAAATAATTTATTATTTATTAAGTAGAAACAATTTATCAGGTATAAATCAATCTCTTGTTTGCAAAAATATTCTTACCTAGCCTGTACGTCACCAATAAATCTTTGTTGAGTCTTTACTGTGTTTTTATGATTTGTACTCAGAAGTGATGATTAAGTATTTCCAATATAAGAAGGGAAAAAAATAAAGGGATATCAGTGATACACCTCTGGTCCAGCAAGGGTTAAAAAAATTAATACATGAGCTGAAGAGGAAAATATACTTTCTTGACTATATTCCTGCCCTATAATTTGCTATGCTGTAGGAAAATGTTTAGTTTTTGCATACTTGCAAGTAATCTGGTGGAACTGATTTTAAGCTGTATCTGGTAGATAGGACATTTGAAAGAAAAAGAAAAACAAAAGAGCAATGTTGTATTTTGCAGATATAATGGAAAGTCCCTGGCAACTTTGTGGAGAGAGTGGTCACAAGATGAGACAGGTTACATACACGTTAACATTGAACCATTCAATGGCAAAGACTGCTCAAACTACAGAGACACAGGTAAGTGTTTACAGGGTAAATCCCCAATAAATATGGACACACAAATGATATAAGTTTTCACAACAGAAAACACGAACTTCACGTTAATTGGTCACAGGACAGGATAAAAGCTACGAAAATGAAGTTAAGTGTATGAAATATAAGGGCATCATAAAGTACAGAAAAAAAAAATCAAACTTGTAAAATTTTAAAATTACATATGAATAAGACACTCAATATTATGTTTCAGTAATGAAGGTCAGTGTTGACACTGACTACATCAATTTCTTATATTAGTTAGAAAGTCCAGTGGAAATGTTTCTTCCTTTCATTACTATCAGTATAAGTGTTGTTTCTTATAACTTTACAGGAAAGTAAAAATTAATGTGTACATGCTAAAATTAACAAAAGGTGGACAGGGGTTATGTTTCCACTCCTGTGTGCATGTGTGTGTGTGTGTGTGTGTTTTATGTGTTTGTCAGCAAGATTTCTCGAAAATGGCTGAATGGATTTGGATGAAAGTTGGCATACATTTGAATATGATCCAACTTAAAAGTGATTAGGAGGGTCAAGGTCACAACAAAGTCACGAAAATAAAAAATTCTCTGTTAACTCTCACACTAATTTTGCTCTGTAACTCAGTCAAACATGCTCGGATTTCGAAGAACCTTGGTGGACATATGTAGAATATTATTTCTCACTGTCTTGCCAAAAATGGTCTATGTCCATCATTTTGATGGACATACTGACACATTTTCTTGTTTTTTTGAGAACTGAATACAACCAGTGTGGCGTGGCATAGGTATGCGCTCTACTGAGTGCCACTCTAGTAGCAATATAAAATTAGACACAACTGAAATATGGCATCCCAATATATTGATATTTTATTTTATTTTATGCATTATGGAGCAAAAATAGTGTGTAAAATCAGCCCTGATGTTAACAGATAGGGATTTTTTTATTTTCGTGACCTTGACCCTCCAAAAACTTATTTGCCTTTAAGTCAGGTTATAGACCTAATGTATACCAACTTTCATCCAAATCCATTCTGTCATTTTTGAGAAATCTTGCTGACAAACAAATGCACACACACACACACACACAGGGGTGAAGACATCTCATTTTAATGGCATTCATACTTTTGTGAAAGAAGTGATGTATGGAACTTCATTTTTAGATGTGTCAAGATAGATACTTGAGGCTTTCATACTTGTATTGCAGTGACGCGCATAAAAAATTAAGGAATAAGGAAACACTTTGTAAGACCCTTCAGATCACAAGGTTCATGGGAAATTAGCTTTTTATTTTCTCAAAAACATACACTGATTCAAGGAGTTCACACAAAAGAAATAAAGATATGTAGAAAAAAGAATTATGATTAGTTTTTCAAAGATACAAAAACAGAAATACATGCACATACTGAGTTTTTACAAATCATAGATGTCATTGTAGCATCATGTTTACTTTAGCCACAATAATGCGAAAATGTTTGTCAAGATTAATGAACATGGTAAAGGTTGTTTCATATGAATAACAAGTTTCTCTGTAGCTCTTTTTAGCATATCAGTATGCTTTTATTGACAGGTTTTTGACAGGCCACTTCTCTCCCTAATGAGCTATTTACCATGTACTGTTTTCCAACATACTGAAAATTGTCTACATTGTTTACATGCATTTGGTGCTGTAATACAAGAAAAGTGCAAACACTTGGCACTTCAATACTGTTAAGTTGTTAACCTACTTACAAAAATAAGGATCCTGTTTAATTATGGCTAGCTATAACTAGACAAGAATGACTGAAGAGGTAAAATGAAAATGTGGCTGTCATCACCTATTTTAATTTGTTTGATTTATTGGTTTCTCAGAATGCACATGTGTTTCTACAGTTTCTTCCAGCTTGTACTGTAAAAGATAAACATATTAATCATTTTTATATATTCTTTCTAAACTTCAATCCATATCAACAACTTCTTGCTTAAAAGCTTATGATGTTTTTTTACACATATAAAGTAGTTGATTATTTTGTTAAGTTTTTCATGTTGACGATAGAATTAGAAAAAAACTGTGAAATGTTTGTATTAAAGAGTTTATTTAATATTACTGTGATTTAATATCTTTATAATATTTTGATTTCCACCTTATGAATCATTTTAGTCTCTGGAGAGAAGTCATCAAATATTATCATCAATTTACTTGATAAATGACAAATACTATACGGTCTTTGTTTTTTTGGATTGAAGTGAATTAGTTTTAATTGAAGTATGTATTATCTATAACATACTGTCAAGAATCTTTACTGGTTTTATTACGTGAAATATAAGGATGGATAGTTTTCGTAAAGAATTAGTGTATTTAGTATTAGTAGAGTTGTCTTGTGGAACTGTATAGGGAATAACCCACATAATGCTATTAATTATGTTTTTAGCTTGGTATAGATTTTCTACTACGTTGCACATATAATACATTTTCATGTACAACAGTTTAAGATTCAAGAAGTTCCTAAAGTGTTGTACGTAAAAATGTCTGTCTTATTGTAGTTATGGTTTGTACCCATTTGGCTTACTTCTTGTATGGAGAATGATACACAGTTCAACAATACTTACGATAACTATGAGCTTTCTTAATGTATCTTTACAACAATTGGTAAGATTTTGTTAGAGATTACAAGTATTTTGTACATAAAGAATGAGATTATTTTAATTAAGTATTTTAACTAAAGATTTGTTATATTTGTATTGTAATTATTTGCACTCAGGCTCTGAACATTTTGAGTACAATGAAATGTTTAAAATCAAGAAATAGATAAAATGTACATATCTTTTAATTTTTTGTTGAAAATCTTGATTGTAAATCTTTACATTTTCACATATAGTTTATTTTTAATGTTTTATTTTCCTTTCCTGTTGTTTAAAATTATTATTTATTATGACATATGTCAACAGGCATCCTTGTGCAATATTATGGTATTATCAGCAGAGATACTTTAGCTTTCGGCAAAATTTTGTTACACTTGCGTACTACACTAAGCCTGATGAAGTGAGGCAAAGATTGGGTTATATTTTTAAAAATTACTACACCTTTCTGATATGAATTTTAAAACATAAATAACATATAATTGACTAAAATATAAAACTAAAACCTAAATACAATTTAGCTGTCTATCTACATAACATATTTATTGGTGACAAACACTGCCAAGTGCTAGCAACGTAATAAGCATCATCAATACTCAGAACAGTTTCAAGTACTTTTAAGAAATTTTTCATGTTAATTTCAAAATAGCCATTGGGAAATTGTAGTTTAAAATGAGCTCTTTTTATTGGTTATAAACATCTACAGAAATAAATATTGTTGAGTGCAAAATTATATGACTATGTGTAGAAAGTGGGCGTGGCTTCTATCAAGAGTTCCCAAGAGACTTATTTTCCTTTCTCGAAACTTGCCTTAAACAGTATGAAAGAAGGATGTGTAAACAGAGCATTTAGCCTAGTTTCTGTCTATACATTGAGGTCCAGTGTATGAAAAGAATTACATAAGTTACACAGACCAAAAACTAAGACTTGTAAATGCTTTGCATCACAAGACGATAAAACTGAAGATTAAGTTTTTTAAAGTTTCTTTTTAAATTAAAGAATTAAAATATAGATGATATAAAACACTGAATTATAACATATTAGGTTGTCAAGAAATTAATGTCACTCTTTTAAAATGAAAAAAACCTGAACAACTTGTATATCAAAACAAAGCATTTATTAAATTAAATAGTCTTCATTCTTATCGATGATGCTTTTCCATCTTACAGTCAGGTTATTAATGCTCTGATTAAAGAAATCACTTGGCTTTGAAGCAAAAACATGTCAGTGTCCTCTTTAACACCTTCCACATTTGCATATGTTTTCCCATTAAGATGGTGTTGCAGCAAATAAAAAAGATGATAATGTGATGGTGCCATATCTGAAGAATATGGTGGGTGGGGGAGAACTTTTTAACCCAACTTCATAATCTTGTGTTGCGTGAAACGTGTCACATGTGGACGTGCATTGTCGTGGAAAAGAACACCTTTCTGATTGATGAATGAAAGGTGTTTCTGATGAAGGGCTTGATTTAAACATCCCAGTTGCTGACTATAGATCTCAGCATTGATAGTTCACTGTGGATTGAGGAGTTCGAAATGAATAACTCCTTTGATGTCCCACCAAATGCAAAGCATCACTTTCTGTGGATGGAATACAGGTTTTGGGGTCGGAAGTGGTGTTTGTTTAGGACTGAGCCATTGTTTTTGGAATTTAATATTCATTTAACGTATCCATTTTTCATCACCGGTTACAGTTCTGTCCAAAAATGGTTCATGTGCATTATGCACTAGAAGAGAAATAGCAACGTTCACATATTGGAAACAATGATCATTGGACAGTTTGTGAGGCACCCAAACAGCTTCTGTAAGGAGTTTTCTCATATT